GAGCATCCTCGGAGAAGACCTTGAAGGGAGGGAGCTTGGCGAGAAAGCCAGTGAGTGTGACAGCAGAAATATTTCTAGAGTTGTTGGGAATTGGCAGCGGGAAGGTAAGTTTGGGGCTGTGCCATCATCCAGGCAAGAAACACTACCCTTCAAACTAGGCTGACAGTGGAGATTGAGGAAGGTAGGCTGATTCAAGAAGTAAAGTGGGAGGGAGAGCAGATGGAGTTGTTAGGAAGTGGATGTGAGTAATGAGGGAAGGAGGAGCCGGGTGGACTGGCGGCATCTGCTGGCGTTCCATGTGAGCGGTCGTGCCAGATGACTTTATAGACACTGTGCCTTCTGACATTTTATGATTTTGGAATCTATGACAGCACCCTTATTTATAGATTGAGTGATAGCCATATTGAATATGTTGTCTTTAATAATTGTAAGGATATAATTCTATTTTTTGACATTTGTGGAGTAAGCGTTGAGCCTGTCACTAAACGGTGTACATCTCTGGAATCCATTTGTTTTCCTCTGTCCACAGCCACACAGCTGGCCTCAGCCGCTGCCTTCCTCACCAGCTGCGGTCAGGGTGGTCTTTACAAAACCGGGCTCCACGACTCCCTTGGCCCCACAGCTGACCCCTCACAGAAACATTTCCAAGTGGCTTCAGTTCAGTTCCACCCTTGGTGGGGTGTCTCCTCCCCTCTTTCCAGTGGTCTTACAGCTGACCTGGGCCTGGAGAGGCAGAGGGCCTGCGGGTGGAGAACCGGAAGAACAAGAGGGCAGGTATTCTGGCTTGGAGGGCTTGCCTGCCACTCCCCGGACTGGGAGGGAGTCTGTTTCCTCTTTTCTTGATTAATAATTCCTCTCCCATTAAGCCTTGGTCGCTATACTCCAGACTTCCCTTTTCTGGTTTTACAGTTACATTCAAGGGAATCTTTATCAAGTTCTTTAGTCTTTGTTTCTGCTCTCCTCCCCCAGATGGAGAAAGAAAAGACCTAAGTAACCAGCCTCTTGCTCCTGAAGATCTCTGCCACTGGATGGTTCCAGTGCACCTGCTCACCTGTTTGCTCTCAGCCTGTGCTGTTTTGCAGCGTTGCTCCTATCACACTCCTTTTATTTCCTGGAATGACAAGCTCACTCATCTCCCACCCTCCACGCTTAGACCTTCCTTTCTGTAGACCAGGGGACCTTCCTTCCCTCTCTGGACACTGCCCATGTGCTCACAGAGTGTGCTCTGCTCAGCGGTGGTGTTGTGTATACCACACTATTATCATATGGTCATTCTGGGTTATTCCTCCTGCAGCTCCTAAGATCTTTGTGAACAGGCACCATATCTGAATCCTTAGTTCCCCGCTGGATAGCACAGTGCATTTTAGACGTTGTTTTCTGCTGGAAGAGTTTTTCCTGCTTTTTATGCGAGTTGAATATTTTGACTGACTCACATGGAGTCTGATGTGCTCGGCTTTGAGTGCTGGCAGTGGTGAAATTAGAGCAGGATGGTCTCTTTGTTGTAGTCTGGATTGATCCTCTGTGTGCCTTGGTGTATCTTGTTCAACTGCGGCGGTTTCTTCTGGCCCTAGAAAAGCTTGTAGGTCACGTACTGATTAGAAGTTAAATAACAAAAATAAATAAATAACACAGGTTTATCAGGCAGCATGTTTTTACCATTTTGTTGACCTTTTTATCCACTCATTCATTCAAGCTAAATGCCTTACGTTCCTTGTTTTTAATTACATTTTCTACTGCAAGTTAACTTATTTTTTACACTTTTGGACTCTTTCACCGTAACAGGGAATGCTTTAGGAATTTAAAAAGTACTTTCGTGCCCAGCCAGTGTTGCTCAGTGGTTGAGTATGACCCATGAACCAGGAGGTCACAGTTTGATTCCCTGTCAGGGCACATGCCCAAGGAGGGGGCATGCAGGAGGCAGCCGATTGATGATTCTCTCTCATCACTGATATATCTATCTCTCTTGCTCTCTCCTCTCTCTGAAATCAATAAACATATGAAAAAAATATATATATATAATCATTTTGTCTTTTTTGCATGATATTTGAAAATAGTGATTTTAAGTTTGCATTTAAAAATTCTAGTTCAGCCGAAACCGGTTTGGCTCAGTGGATAGAGCGTCGGCCTGCGGACTGAAGGGTCCCGGGTTCGATTCTGGTCAAGGGCATGTACCTTGGTTGCGGGCATATCCCCAGTGGGAGATGTGCAGGAGGCAGCTGATCGGTGTTTCTAACTCTCTATCTCTCTCCCTTCCTCTCTGTAAAAAATCAATAAAATATATATTAAAAAAAAATTCTAGTTCAGTATATTGTAAAACAAATTAAGTGAATTTCAACACTATTATTTTTTCTCATCTTTTTGTACGAAATTTTATTTGTATTAACACATTGTTTATTTTAAAAACTATACATGTAGGCCGTCCAGTTAGCTCAATTGGTTAAAGCATCATCCCAGTTCACCAAGGTCACGGGTTGGATCTCAGATCAGGGCACATAGAAGAAGCAACCAATGAATGCATAAATAAATGGAACAACAAATTGATGTCTCTCTCTTCCCCCTCCCCCCTTCCTCTTCTAGCTTAAAAAAAACAGTCCTGGCCCGTGTGGTTCAGTTGGTTGCATGTCCAAGCACTGAAAGGTTGCCAGTTCAAAGGTTGCAGGCTTGACCCTCAGTCAGAGTGCACACAGGAGGCAACTGATGGATGTTTTACTCTCTTATCAATGTTTTTTTCTTCCTCTCCCTTCCTCTCTAAAAATCAATAAAAAATATTTAAAACAGCAACAACCAATGAATGCAGAAATAAGTGGGAAAATAAATTGATGTTTCCACCTCTCCCTTTCTCTCTAAAATCAATCAGTAAACAAATAATAAAGGCTGTGTATATATTTTGTTTACTTTGAATTAGTTATATAAAATATGATTTGACAGAATAAAAGTGAGATTTTATCATGTCTGTGGATTCTGTAAAGTTTTCTATAAATAAGATGATACCATTTTGCAACTTGGATTTTCAGCATTCTTAGGTGTTACATACTAAGAATATGCCTTGCATTATAGTTTTTAATTTCAGTGACTGTTATTTTTCTCTTAGATGTTCAAGTTGTTTGTTTGTTTTTCAAATCTCCTGGTTGTTTTTGGTTGTATCTTATTCTTCCCTATGCTTTTGAGATTTTAATTGTTTTAAACACACTGTTCTTTATAATGGTTCTATACTCTTGATGATGTCTACTGCTTTGTTTGAGGTGTCCTCTGCTAGCACCCATGCTGAATTACTTCAATGTGTGTTTTGTAATTTTAGGTTGTATACCAATGTTGAGTGGGCTTTAATTATAGAAACCATAAGGCCTGGGATGAGAGCTTCAGCTGATGTACATTTTATTTCTTCTACTACCTGAGTGATAGGCACTTGTGTTTCAAATGATCAAAGAAACCTGTCCCATGCCCATCAAACTAGAGCGCAAGCTCCATGAAATCAGGAGGCTTTTTTTTCATTCACCGATGTCTCCCAAATTGTCTACTACAGTGCATGGCAGATAGTACCTGTACTTGAACTGAATTTATCATCTTTCTTTTTGACTAATCTATTGTTTCATTGAAGAAGTAAAGAGGGACTTTTCTGCCAGTAATTACTGGGGCTTTCTTTTGATTCCTTCCTCCCCCATTTGTTCCAGTAACTTGTTTTTGACCCCATGCTGAGCAGAAAGATAATTCTAACCCTTTATAATAAACTGGAGGCCTGGTGCATGAATTCACGCACCAGTGGGGTCCCTCGGCTTGGCCTAAGGGATTGGACTGAAATCAACTCTCCAACATCCCCCAAGGGGTCCCTGATTGTGAGGGTGCAGGCCAGGCCGAGGGACCCTACTGGTGCATGGGGCCAGAGAGAGACTCAGGAGGTTGGCCAGCCGGAGAGGGGCTGCGGGAGGGCTCCAGGGTATGTCCCGCCTGTCTTGCTCAGTCCTGATCAACCGGACCCCAGCTGCAAGCTAACCTACAGGTCAACTGTCTGCCCCTTCATGGTCAGTGCACACCGTAATGAGTGGTTGAGTGGCCTTGGCCTATCATTAGCATATTATGCTTTGATTGGTTGAATGGCTGACCAGTCGAAGGGACACAGTGTATTAGGCTTTTATTATATAGGCTAAGCATTTGCCTCCTTCCTGGGTCTGTTTGTCTCAGAGACCTCACATTAGTTCAGTTAGGCTCTTAAGCTGCCTTCAATTTGTTTTTCACGAATACTCACATTTCTCATTTTTGAAAATTGAGAAGATTTTTTTAAAAAAATGAAGATAATCAGATTAAGCTTTGAAGATAAAAAAAGAAGCTTAAGATGATATAGTTTAGTAGTGAGAATTTAGGTAACCATCAAACAAGGAATGACAAGTGAAAAATAGAAAAACTAGCAAAGATAAAATGTGTGGGTTTTTTGTTGTTTTTTTCTTTACACTAACCACGGGCAGGAGAAAATCCACCCATAATTGAGACTGTAACTTAATGGTTAATTTATTTTTCATTTTCTTGTAATACTCATTAAATTATTTGAAAATGAAACTTAAATGCTATTATCTAGCAAGTCTTGGGATTGTTTTTAAAGAATATTAAAGGAAACATTTAACTATTTGATGTGATAACATTACCAATACATTTGGTAGATTTCTTATTCATTTGGTATGATATAAATTAGATGGAACATGGATGTGAGTAGAAATAAAATTGTCACCTTTAAGTACATTGAAGTTATAAAGAGCCTTTTTTTGAAGAGAAATATTATTCTCTATATTGTCTTTTTAATTGAATTTATTGGGGGGATATTGGTTAATAAAATTATATAGGTTTCAGAGGTACAGTTCTATAATACATCATCCGTATCCTTTATGTTGTCTTTATATGATCATGCTGAACTGTCTGTGGTTGATTATGAACGTGTGAACTGACCCAGTACTTGGTGTCGTGGTGCCTGGTTCTACTGTCAAAGATCTTTGCAAAATGGGGTCATATGATATTCTGATGACTAAATGTTGTTTCTTCTTTCTTTTGCAGTTCCACCACCCCCTAGTAGATATGATCGGCGAGTATCAGGTATATGTTCTCTTTCAAAACGTACTGCTATGTTTTAAGATAGGGTTATCTTAAATAAAAACAAACTGATCTTTTTAATAAAAAGTTAACAGCATTCAGAACATTACAAAAATTTTCTGATTCTTTCCTTCTATTTTATTTTCAGTTCAGAGTGTATATGTGTGTATTTTTATATTACTAGATTTAGTTAATTATTATGTCATTACTATTTTTCCATGTTCATAATTGTGGCTTCTAAAAACGACTTTCACCGGCATTACTAGTTCTGATTTTCTAGATTATGCTGCCGTTCATGCCTTGCCTACATTTCCCAGCCACTCACACCATTGTTTCCTCAGTTTTAGTGTGAGCGGGGCCTGCCCTGGCCAGAGACTGGGCGCTGCACTCGCTTTCCCTGTGTGTTGCTGTCTGGAGAGGCCTTAGAAAGGCCTGCAGGGAGACACCGCACAGGCCTCCTCTCCAGCCACTTCCCGGTGTCCACGAGCCCACTCCTTTAGGCTAGGTGGACGATGTAGCTCAGATTGTTTATCTCACACTCCCTTGATTATTAACGAAATTAGTGTTTTCCAAACATGGGAAACCCATTTTTATTTTCCCATATAGAACTAATTTGGTAATATTTTAATCTCTCATCTATTATGGTCTAGATTATTTTTGTAAGTTTGAGTAAATTTCTGTCATGATTTTTAACCTTTTGAAATTATTAATGCAAAGTTTTCCACATTGGTTGTGCTGTTTATTTTAGTTTTGCTATTTTTTATGTACTCAAATTTTTTCTTATGTAACCGGTACCTTGAACTGCCTAGTATATAGCAGGCACTCAGCAAATATTGGTTGAATATATACATCCTCTTCTTTTTTTTTTCATGATTGCTCCTAAGCTGAGAAGGAACCCCCCATTTTTAAAGAATATCTTTTTATTGATTTCAGAGAGGAAGGGAGAGATAGAAACATCAATGATGAGAGAGAATCACTGATCAGCTGCCTCCTACACGCCCCACACTGGGGATCGAGTCCACAACCTGGGCATGTGCACTGACTGGGAATCCAACCATGACCTCCTGGTTCATAGGTTGACACCCAACCATTGAGCCACACCTGCCAGGTGGGGAGGCTACCCCCTTTTTCATAGAGCTGATAAATATATTTTCCAAAAGTTTTCCATGTAATTAAATGTGTGGCTTCTGGATACTTCCAGCGTCCCTTTGTTTTATTTTTAGAGAAAGGGCTTTTATTAGCGAGTTAGAGTAACAGTAGAGTTGGTTTGGTTGTATATTGGGATGTTAGTGTCTCTCAGATTGTCACTCGAGCTGCACGTGTCACCTTGTTCTTTCATGTCACCTTGTTCTTGGAATGTCACTCACCTTCACTTACCCTTTCTGTCCTGGAATCCTTTTCTTTGAGAAAAGCTACTCATTTGTCCAGAAAGCCGTTGGTAACATTGTGCACCAATGTCTGTTGAAAGGAGATACAAGAATGTGTTCTTATGTGTAGAGTTATTTACAGAGAGGAAATGGAGACGAGAGTCAGGTGGGTGCAAGACCTGTGAGTGATTATCTCCCATTTCTGTTCATCCTTGCCCTGCACCCCTGTTTTCCAGAAAGATTAGTGATAGCCCTTGGCATCCGCAGGACAGATGAGGGCGATGGAGGACAGAGCGACGTCTCCTGCAGAGGTCGCCGCGCTGTGAGCTCATGGGTTGCTGCTGAGCTTCCGGTGTCCGCAGTCCTTGACCTGCAGACTCAGCACATGTTCTCACCCCCACCCCCACCCCCCCCCCCTCCTTACATTTCATAAGCTTATTGAACATCTGAGACTTTTTTTTTTATATATTTTATTGAGTTTTTACAGAGAGGAAAGGAGAGAGATAGAGAGCCAGAAACATTGATGAGAGAGAAACATCGACCAGCTGCCTCCTGCACACTCCCCACTGGGGATGTGCCCGCAACCAAGGCACACGCCCCTGACCAGAATCGAACCCGGGACCCTTCAGTCCACAGGCCGACGCTCTATCCACTGAGCCAAACCGGTTTCGGCCATCTGAGACTTTTTAATGTTACTCAAATGTTAAGTGAAAATAAAAGATTCTGAAATGATTATGCAGAAGAGAAAGCAGCCTGTAGCAATAGCTAAGATACAGACTGTGTGCTCGGTGCACATTTTAAGGTCTTTCTCGATGCCTGCCTTGTATTGTTGAATATAATTCTTACATTGGCACTGTAGGTACATGCCATGTTATCCCCGTGTACAGACAGGACGCGAGCAAAGCAGAGGTTAGGTTGCTCGCAACAGTCGAGGTGACAGTGTGCCCAAAGGTGGCGTGGGCCTCGGTGCTTCCTCCCCGTCGCTCAGACCCTTTCTCGTCAGGCTTCAGGTGGACCCCCTGGTTCTCAGCCTGTCCTCTGAGTGTAGCTTCCTCTGCTCCAGCTGAAGCTTAGCCCACCCCGCAGGCTTCTCCAGTGCGGCGCTGTTCTCGCCCACCTTCCTGGTAACACTCACGGGAGATGGGTCTGTGCCTCTCTCCTTGCTCGTGGCTGCTTTCAAACCGTTTGCTTTCCCTCCTTCCTAAAATTCTCGGCTTCACACCTCTCATTGTTATATTCTACTAGCCACTATCCCTCCTTGTTTTACGAGCAGTCATCTAATAATCCCCATACTGCCCCTTTTCTTTTTTAAAAAAATATTGTTATTGATTTCAGAGAGGAAGGGAGAGGGGGAGAGAGAGAGGAACATCAATGATGGGAGAGAATCATGGATCGGCTCTCCCCTGCTTGCCCCGCACTGGGGATCGAGCCCACAACCCGGGCCTGTGCCCTGACCGGGAATAGAATAGTGACCTCCTGGCTCATAGGTCGACGCTCAGCCACCGAGCCCACCGGCCGGCCCTTTTTGTTTCTGCATAGATAGCCCTGCCACTGCCTCGCCCTTCTGGTCCTTGGCCTCCTCTCTCCCAAGGATCTTGTCTTCCACCCTGTACTCCCATGGTCACGCTCTGATATGACAAACTCTTCATCGGTGATGCCTGTCCTGTCACCTGACCTGCTGCCTTCTCAGCTCCTGCTCCAGCCCTGGCAAGTCATTGTCCGGCCTCCTTTTCACTCATCCTCACTCCCTCTCGCCTCCCCTTACATTTTTTGATCAGTGAATGTCACCACACCTGGCACCCAGCCCTGAAGAAACACCGCTTGGAGGGAGGCAGGGACTGCCCTGGCAGCTGGAGAACATGGCTCCTAGTTTGGCCAGTACCTGAAGGATGCATTCTCGTTGGGACAGTGTCTTAACACTCGCAGGGGGATGAGCTGGACCTGGCTGCTCTGGCGGGAGGGAAGGAGGTAAAATAACGGTGGAAGGACAGGTGGGGGTTGGGGCTCCTGATATGATTCAAAGACTTAAGCAAAGACTGGGCGTGTCAGGACGTGTGAGCTGTGTCAGCCTGCAGGGGAGACGCCAGCTCGGGCTGTCTGCCACAGTAACAGAGGTGGAGCAGTGTAGGGTCGAGCAGTTACTGAGTGTCCCCTAGCCTAGTCCCGCTATTATCCACCCTGTGCGTGGTTCTAGTATTGCCATCCCCTCTGTCATTAAAAAGTCCAAGCCGAAACCGGTTTGGCTCAGTGGATAGAGCGTCGGCCTGCGGACTGAGGGGTCCCGGGTTCGATTCCGGTCGGGGGCATGTACCTGGGTTGCGGGCACATCCCAAGTAGGGGATGTGCAGGAGGCAGCTGATCGATGTTTCTAACTCTCTATCTCTCTCCCTTCCTTTCTGTAAAAAATCAATAAAATATATTTTTTTTAAAAAAGAGTCCAAGGATCGGGGACATGGAGAAAAGTGGGCAAGGGGTGGGCGGACCCAGTTTCGGGACCCAGTGTGCGTGACCTCACAGGTGAGCTCTCCCCTCCTGAGGCCGCCTTCTCCGCAAGCACTGGGGTTGAGAAGCTGTGCCTTCCGAGTCCTAGCAGAGCAGCCTCTACATCGAGTGAACAGTTTATGAATGTCTGAAGGCAGCTTTCTATGGGAGCTATCTTGGAGTTTGACATGTTAGTCTGATTCTGTTAATTTAAAAACTTCATCCAAAAAACGCTGTTCATTTATTAAGTGTGTAGTGACGCTTCGAAGCATGTTACTTGGAGCTGTGTGTGTTGGGCGTCACGTCACAGGTCGGAGGGAGCGTCTGGCTGGTGATGACGGCAGCACAGTCACCACTCACTTCTGCCTGATGGGTGCCTTTGCCGGCACCCCTGCCTCTGAGGCTCACATATTGCAGTGTACGTAGATTCAGGGTGTCTTCTCTATAGCCTCTTACAGTGTTCAGTACTTTTTCCATCCATGGCTGTCTTGGGGTGAAATACTAAATATTGCTTAAAATAACTTAGAAACCAGTGTTATGGATTGTGTGTCTCCCTCAAAATCATATGTTGAGGCCCAACCTCAGTGTAATTGCATTTAGAGATACGGCCTTTAAAGAGGTTGATCAAGGTTAAATGAGGCCTTAACGATGAGGCCCTAATCCAATAGGACAGGAGTCCTTATAAGAACGGGAAGAGCCCTAGCCTGTTTGGGTCAGTGGTTAGAGTGTCAGCCCACAGACTGAAGGATCCCGGGTTCAATTCCTATCAACGGCATGTACCAAGGTTGCAGGCTTGATCCCTGGCCCCGGGTTGGGCGCATGCAGGAGGCAACCAGTCCACGTGTGTCTCTCACATTGATGTTTCTCTCTGTCCCTACTCCTCCCCTCCACTGTCTCTAAAAAAAAGGCAATGGAAAAATACCCTCAGGTGAGGCTTAACAAAAAATAATATAGGAAGGAAGGGGGGGGGGGGAGGGAAGAAGGAAGGAAGGAAGGAAGGTAGGTAGGAAGGTCTTCAGCGTCTCAAGGCACTCGGTGTAGTTCTTGAGGCTGCAGTAGGGGACCATACAGCCTCCCCCAGGGAACCTGTGCACTGAGAAAGCTTCCTGCTCTGTGAACCATAAGGGTAACAATCACATAGACACTTAGAGTGGATTTCTATGGAGAAAATGAGAACATTAATTTGGCATCAGGACCAGGAAATAGAGAGGCTGGGTGTAAACAGAGGAAGAGGGCAAAGGGCAGGGAGTTCAGAAGAAAGGGGGAAAATCAGAACCAGTTTTGAAAAATAAAGTCAATGTTTTTCTACAAATGGAAACATTAATAATTTTATTTATTTTTTAAAAATATATCTTATTGATTTTTTACAGAGAGGAAGGGAGAGAGATAGTTAGAAACATTGATGAGAGAGAAACATTGATCAGCTGCCTCCTGCACACTCCCAGCTGGGGATGTGCCCGAAACCAAGGTACATGCCCTTGATCAGAATCGAACCCGGGACCCTTTAGTCCACAGGCTGACGCTCTATCCACTGAACCAAACCGGTTAGGGCAAAATATTAATAATTTTAATGAAAATAACTACTTTTGTCCAAATCATAGTATAATACCCATGTACCCATCCAGTTCCACAATGAAGGGCTTTTAAAAGTCATGAAGGAAGGAGTAGCGATTGGAGTGGATTGAATGAAGGTCAAATGGGAGAGTGTTGCTGAGGAAGACTTTGATGTGTTCATTGGATAAGAGGAGGAAGAGGGAGTCATGGCGAACTCCTAGTTTAGAAAGCGGGGCTGATAATGACCACATTACGGCTACAACCAGGAGGCCTTCAGTTTAATACGGTGTCTGGTCAGCAGCTCTCAGTGCAGCTTCCTCAGTCTCCCCCCTAAATACCTGTGCCCAGGCCAAGAGTGGCAGCAGGGAGTCTAGGAACTCAGGAAGGTTCCGGCCTTAATCTGTAGGGCAGATCTGAGACAAATGCACCCTGACTTGTCGTGTGGAAACCAAGGGCTTGGAGAACAGTAATGAGTCATTATCTACTCCCAGTTGTTCACTCCGGCTCAGCTACCCAAAGCCTGAGTCAGCAGGGGCTGGACAGCCTCTGCAGAGCATCACCCGATGCTGTTCGAGGGACCAGAATGTGGTGTCCTCTTCTTTTCTCTGAATTACAACGGAGACAAGTGCTACAGGCAACGGCACAAACACAGGTGCCTACACAGAGAGTCAGGGTGGCTTTAAATTTATCTAATATACCGAGAGCAGAGTGTGACACACAGGATTTCTTTTGTCTAAAGTTATTATTATTATTTTTTTAATCCTCACCCAAGGGTACGTTTATTAAATTTAGAGAGAGAAACATCAGTTGGTTACCTTCCATACGTGCCTCTACCGGAGGTCAAACCCACAACCTAGGTTTGTACCCTCACCCGGGGTCGCACCCACAGCCCTTTTTGGTCTACTGAACGACACTCCAACCAACCGAGCCACTCTTATTTTTTAAGTCATTTATGTGAGTTACTTTTCATTGATTCTGTTTGTAATCACTCCGTATCCAAATGTTCATATTGCGTGTAGTGCACTTTGTCGTTTTCCACCCCTGTTTCATGCCTTACTCGCTTGTCCTCAGCACCGTAGGGTTTAATAGATGGGATACAGGCTGGGACAGACATAGGCTTACAGTTGTGAGGATGCAAAACACAGAGTTTATTCTTGTATTATTATTTATTAATTATTGTATTGTTTTCCATACAAAGAACTGTAAACCTACTTTACCCTACCCTGTATTTTATCATCTCTCTTCTGTGTGAATCTATCAATCCCTAGAGAGCTGGCTTTTCGAACCTAACAGCATACCTGGCATTAGTAGGTACTCAATACCTTCGTTAATTGAAAGAAGGGATTTAAAAAATCATGACAGCTTTAGCAAGCAGTGAGGAAAAGAAAATTGTATTCACTTCTTATTTTTCTAGTAAAAGCACACGTCTGTTTTATTCATTTTTCTCTCTTTTTCTCTCTCCAAATGTAGTTTGCGCTGAGGCTTACAACCCTGATGACGAAGAGGAGGATACAGAACCAAGGGTAAGATGTGCAACAAAGGGTATTAAGTGGATTGTTTCCTTCCCCACTCCCTCCCCTACTTCTCTACACACCACATCTAATCATTATGGTAATTAAATACAAATTAAAATCTTAACACAATGCCTTTTTTAAATCTAACTGGTTGAAAAATATTATGAAAAACTAGAGGCCCGATGCATGGATTCGTGCACTTGTGGGGGGGGTCCTTCAGCCCGGCCTGCACCCTCTCGCAGTCTGGGACCCCTCGGGGGATGTCGGTCTGCCGGCTTAGGCTCAATCCCTGGGCCCAATTTCTGCAGGGATCAGGCCTAAGCCTGCAGTCAGACATCCCTCTCTCCTGGGCTCTCGCAGTCCAGGACCCCTTACTCCTTACCACCCACCTGCAGCTGTGAGCCCGGCTTCTGGCTGAGCAGCGCTTCCCCTGTGGGAGCACACTGACTACCAGGGGGCAGCTCCTGCGTTGAGCGTCTGCCTCCTGGTGGTCAGTGTGCGTCATAGTGACCTGTCATTCCACCTTTTGGTGGATTTACATATTAGGATTTTATGATATAGGATTATATCTGGAAGGATATATTCCAAATATTATTAGTGGTTATGAGGACTATGATTAACTTTTGGGCACTTTTTTAAAAACTCAGGTTTTTAAATTCTACAGTTACCAAAAACAAATATGAAGCATCACTTTTAAAAGATGTTATAAATAAAAGAAATTTTGATCTTTCAAGTATGCCTTAAAATGAATAGCCTATGAAAGATTCCTTAAGTATTTTAATAATAAAATGCTACCACTGTGTGAATATAATAGACATGTATACTTTTATTCTGGATATTGTAATATTCCTTTTAAGATTGAAATTGCACTGGCCCAGATAGCTCAGTTGGTTAGAGCATCGTCGTATACACCAAGGTTGCGGGTTCGATCTCTGGTCAAGACACATACAAGAATCAACCAATGAATGCATAAATACATGAAACAACAAATTGATGTTTCTCTCTCACTTCCTCTAAAACCAATTTTTAAAAAAAGTAAATTGGCTTTTCACTAACGTTTAAAATATATATATTTATATTGATTCAGAGAGGAAGGGAGAGGGAGACAGATAAAGAAACAATGATGAGAGAAAATCATTGATCACCTGCCTCCTACTCACCCCACATTGGGGATCAAGACCGCAACCCGAGTATGTACCCAGACCAGGAATCAAACCATGACCTTCTCGTACATAGGCCGACACGCAGCCACTGAGCCAAGCTGGCCGGGCTGCTTATTAACTTTAATATAACAAATTCAAGATGCTCAACGCTTTTTTTTTAACCCTTACCCAAGGATATGTTTTTATTTATTTTTAGAGAGAGAGAAAGGGGGAGAGAGAGATAAACATCGATGTGAGAGAAACACAGGTAACCTAGGTATATGCCCTGCCTGGGAATTGAACCTGCAACCTTTTGGTGCACAGGACGATGCTTCCACCAACCCAGTCAGGACAAAATGCTTAACACTTTTGATATCTGTTATCTCCAGTTAGGTTAAGTGATGTACCTTTCTTTTTAGGGTGGAGACAATACTTAGGAAGGAGCTTGACTGATCTCTCAATTATAACAGCAGTGCTAGCAATAATTACTTTTTAGTTCAGTCAGTATTTACTGGATATAATAATGGTAATAGTTTTGAGCATCTACTACATGTCAGGTACTGATTTAAACACTGAATGATTAATTCATTTAATCTGTGTGGCAGCTCTAATTTTATAGATGCCACTGCTACTACTAATTATTGTTGTTATGATTGTTTATTAATGTTCGAGCTCCAGCTTGTATCGCCGCCGTTTCCTTCTGTCTCTGCGGCGTAGGTTTCAGCGGGCGGCTCAGACACAGCATGAGTCCTGTGCTCTGTCTCCTCTCGGCTCCTGGCAGCACCGCCCTTCCAGTTGCTCAGGCCCGAACCCTGAGGGTCACTCCCTGCTCCTCGTGTTTTTCATGCCCACGTTTAATTTTGCAGCGAATCCAGGGGGCTCAGTGTTTAACACCTCCCCGCGGTTCCCCTCTGCTCAGCACCGCCGTGCTCCACCTGGTCCTGACCGCCACTGCCTGGCACTGGGAGGACGGCCCGAGCTTCCTGCCCTCACTCCGTCTTCCCTCAGGCTGCTCTTCACTCAGCAGCCCGTGTGAGCCTTTACAAACAGGACACCCCCCTTTTTCCTCAGTCACAGCCCTCACATTGCCCCCATGTCGCTGGAGAAACGTTCCCGTTCTGTGATTGGGCATCACCCTCACCCAGCCCCCAAACCTGGTCTCTTGCTGATCTTCTCCCGGCTCTGCATCAGTCACACCGTCTCCTGGTCACTCTCAGACATGCTGTGCACCTACCGTAAGGCCTGGTGTACCTGCTGTTCCCTTTGCTTGAGATGCTCTTCCTACCCAGACGGACAACGTGACTCATCCCTCAGGTCGTCCTCACCTCCTTGAGAGCTTTACACAGATGTCACTGTCTCCCTGAGGCCACATCTGGACACACTTTTTTCACCCTTTCCTACCTTCTTTTTCTCCTTCCTCTATTGCTCTTCAACATACTTTCATGTGTTGATTGAACACTAGAGGCCCAGTGCACGGATTCGTGCACTTGGGGGGAGTCCCTCTCGGCCTGGCCTGGGCCCTCTCTGCAGGTGGACATCCTCCAAGGGGTCCTTAGCGCTGCTGCAGAGGCAGTAAAGGCTCCTGCCACCACTGCTGCACTCACCAGCCATGAGCCTGGCTTCTGGCTGAGCAGCACTCCTTTGGGAGCACACTGACCACCAGTGGGCAGCTCCTACATTGAGGTCTGCCCTCTGGTGGTCAGTGCACATCATAGTGACTGGTAGTTCTGCCGTTCAATCTATTTGCATATTAGGGTTTTATTATATAGGACTAGAGGCCCGGTGCATCGATTCGTGCACTGGTGGGGTCCCTCAGTGTAGCCTGTGGGGATTGGGCCAAAACCAGCAGTCCAACACCGCCTGTCACTTCTGCTCATCCCAGCCCCACTGCGCCTGCCGCCACTTGGTAGGCTTGCCGCTTGGTGGGCTTGCTGCCACTCCGCTGCGGTCTCTGGGCTGCGCTTGCCAGCCATGAGCCCTGCGTCTGGCACCTGTCAGCTGAGCAGCGCTCCTGCTGTGGGAGTGCACTGACCACCAGAGGGCAGCTCCTGCATCGAGCATCTGCCCCCTGGTGGTCAGTGCGCATCATAGCGACCCATCAACTGGTTGTTGGGTTGACCGGGTATAACAGTCACTTCGACTTTTTTTAAAAATATATTTTATTGATTTTTTACAGAGAAGAAGGGAGAGGGATAGAGTTAGAAACATGGATGAGAGAGATCAATCAGCTGCCTCCTGCACGCCCCCCAGTGGGGATGTAACCAAGGTACATGCCCTTGACCGAAATCAAACCTGGGACCCTTGAGTCCGCAGCCCGACGCTTATCCACTGAGCCAAACTGGTTAGGGCTCAATCAACATTTTAATGTGTTTATATCCTTTAGCTCTTATTCCATGCATATACAGTATACACATATGATTAAGCGGTCTTTGGGATGACAATACAGACATTTGTTGGTAAACTGTGTTTTTCCACTCAAATCACAAATTCTCATGCAATAAACATCATCTGAAACGTGTTAAAACTTTTAAAAAACTTGTTTCCATCCGGCTGACATGACTCAGTGGCTGAGCGTCACACTATGA